ACCTTAACTGGAATTTTGCCCCAAATTCCCTTTGTCTGGGCTCAAATCTCCAACAGATATTTCCAGTATTGTAAAGTTCCTTCAACTCTGCCATTAGCCCCGATCCACCCATTAATTATTTGTACAGCTCTGCCTGAGTTTTGCATGGCCCCATCCCCATCTCCCCTTTGTCCTGCAGGGCTCCGGGCGGCCGTGACCCTGCTGGAGTGCGGGGGGGACCTCCAGCCCCCCGGGGGGTCCCTGCGCCTCCTCTGCCGAGGGTCCGGGTTCAGTTTCGGCAGTTTCTCCATGCTCTGGATATGCCAGAGACCCGGGCAGGGGCTGGAGTGGCTCGCAGGGATCAGTGACAATGGTGGCAGCACCAACTACGTGCCATCGGTCAAGGGCCGGTTCAGGATCTCCAGGGACAACGGGCAGAGCTCGGTGATGCTGACCATGAACAACCTCAAGGACGAGGATTCTGGATCCTATTTCTGTGCCAAACGTGACAATGGTTATGCTGGTGGTAATGCTGCTGCTGTTTTTGCCTTCACTTCTGCTAGTGACCATGAGGGTCGTGAAATTTCTCCAATCCCAGCGATGCTTCCCCCAAGTTTCAGCTCTTCTAAAACCTCGACCATTTCCCCCCAAACTCTACCATTGTTGCCCAAACTCTGTACTTTCCTCGAAATTTTTCCCATTTCTCCCTAATCTCTACCGAGTCCCAGGCCCTGATTGGAGGAGGCCTGAACTGGAGGCCAGGGGTGAAGGTTTGGGGCCAATGGTTGAGATTTGGGGCCGGAGCAGGGGAGGGTTTGGGGTCAGTGCTGACCAATTGGGCAAATGGGGGAGATTTGGGACAAAGGGTCAAGGACTTAGGTTTGGGGAGGAAGAGTCTGGGTTTGGGGACAAGAGGGGCTCTGATGGGGTGGTGCAACCACCGGAATGGTCAATACAGGCAGCAACAGGGTTACCAGTATTGACAGATTTCACACAGAAATAGGATCCGGAATCCTCGTCCTTGAGGTTGTTCATGGTCAGCATCACCGAGCTCTGCCCATTGTCCCTGGACATTGTGATCCGGCCGTTTACCGACGGCGCGTAGTCGGGGTAACCACCATTGTTGTTCACACTCACGACGTATTCCAGCATCTGCCCGGGTCTCTGGCGAAACCAGTACATCCCAAATTGTCTGAAATCAAACCCGGACCCTCAGCAGAGGAGGTGCAGGGACCCCCCGGGGGGCTGGAGTTCTCCCCCGCACTCCAGCAGGGTCACGGCCACCCGGAGCCCTGCGGGACAAAGGGGAGAAGGGGATGGGAAACCTGATTGGCTGAGGGCATGAATGGGTGGTAGTGTCAGCTTGAAAAAGTGGGCAGGACCCACCTGGGAGGAGGATGATGAACTCCAAGGGTCCCAATTTGGGCCCAGAGTAAGGATTTGGGTCAAGGGTTGAGCTTTGGCCTCATCCCCATCTCCCCTTTGTCCCGCAGTGCTCCGGGCAGCCGTTACCCTGCTGGAGTGGGGGGGGGAACTCCAGCCCCCCGGGGGGTCCCTGCACCTCCTCTGCTGAGGGTCCGGATTCAGTTTCGGCAGTTTTGGGATGGGCTGGATTGGCCAGAGACCTGGGCAGGGTTTGGACTTTGTGGCGAGTGTCACCAGTGATGGCGCCACTCCCAGATATGCGCCGTCATTCAAGGGCCGGTTCAGGATCTCCAGGGACAACGGGCAGAGCTCGGTGACGCTGACCATGAACAACCTCAAGGACGAGGATTCCGCCGTTTATTTCTGTGTCAAACTTTCCAATGGTTACGCTGGCAATGCTATTGATGCTGCAATCAATCCAGATAGTGACCATGATGGTCAAAAAATTTCCCCAATCCCAGAGATCCTTCCCCAAAATCCTGGCTCTTTTCCTCACATCTCAGCCATTTTCCCCCAAACTCCACCGCCACTTCCCCAATTCCCAATTTCCCCCGATTTTCCCCATTTCTCCCCAGTCTGGCCCTTCCCCTCCTTCCCATTGTGGCACAGGGATCGCTCCAGGGCCCTTTGCACACAAAGCTTTTTGTGCCGCCGGCGCTCTGCCGCAGCGCCCCGAGGCTGAGCTGCCCTCTGCCAAACACAGATGTTCACCATGACCAAAACCAGGAACTTTCTGTTTCCTTTCCTGCCCCGGCCGGGCCCCGGCAGCTGCCGGGGAGGAAGTGGGGGGAGGCTGCGGAGCCCCAAAATCACGGCATCTTCTCCTCCCTCCCTCCCTCGCTCCCACCTGGGGCTTCACTTCTCCCTCAGTGGCCGCGGTGTCTGGGGCTGCTCCTTGGGGCTGGGCTGGAATCCTCTCTGGGAGCTATGGACATGGTGATGATGCTGGTGGTGGCCCCAAACCCCCATCCCTGGCTCCCCAAATGTCCCAATATCTCCAAATCCTGCCCCAAATCCCAACCCTTGACCCCATTCTTGACCTTCTCCCCCAGTGTCCACCATCTTTTCCCCAACTCTGGACTTTCCCCCAGTTTTTCCCATTTCACCCAAATCTCCCCCAGCTCCCCGGGCCCTGATTGGAGGAGGCCTGACCTGGAGGCCAGGGGTGAAGGTTTGGGGCCAGTGGTTGAGTGTTGGGGCAGGAGCAGGGGAGGGTTTGGGGTCAGTGCTGACCATTGGGGCAAATGGGGGAGATTTGGGACAAAGGGTCAAGGGCTGAGGTTTGGGGGATAATTTAAAGGAAGCATCTCAGTTTGGGGACAGGTGAGGACCCAGTGATGGGGATGGATCCACCACGGCCATCGTCACTCTAAGCAGCAGCACCACCATAACCACGAGTACCACGTTTGGCACAGAAATAGATGGCAGAATCCTCGTCCTTGAGGTTGTTCATGGTCAGCGTCACCGAGCTCTGCCCGTTGTCCCAGGAGAGCGTGACCTGGCCCTTGGCCGACAGCATGTAGTCCGTGCTGCCAGCACTGCTGCTGATACTGGCGATGTATTCCAGCCCCTAACTGGGTCTCTGGCGCACCCAGTGCATGCAAAAACTCCCAAAATCAAACCCGGACCCTCGGCAGAGGAGGCGCAGGGATCCCCTGCGGGGCTGGAGGTCCCCCCCGCACTCCAGCAGGGTCACGGCCGCCCGGAGCCCTGCGGGACAAAGGGGAGATGGGCAGGGGGCCGGGCTGTGCCATTCTCGTTCCCTGCACAGAGTCAGACACCATCCTCTCTCCTCTCTCTCCCTCTCTCCCTCTCTCCCTCTCTCTCTGTCTCTCTCTCTCATTATTTTTCCTGGAGCAGCACAGGGAGAAGAAGAAGATGAAACGATTCCCATCTCTCATCGCTGCTCCTGCTGTTTCTGCACGTGTGGAAGGTGTCGGGGGGATCGTTCCCCTCCAGGCATGTACCAGTTGGGTTCTGCTGATTGATTCTTATTTTTTTTTCAATTTAATTGCTCACAGGTTTTTTATTGGATATTTTAGTGTCTTTTTACTGAATTCTTTTAGTATCTCTTTACTGGAGTGGTAATACAGCACAAATGAGATATATTATTAATGAGATATAATATAGTATTAAGGAGATATAGAATTTATGTAATATAGTATAGATTGAATACAGCAATTGTGCAGAATTCTGAGTCATGGGGTCAGATGCCAATCAATCCTAGATTCCAAAATAAACTGGACGTAGCCAGATCTGGAGGTGGACGGGATCCACCTGGGAAGGCAAGCAGGAGGAGGAGCTGGAGGATGGGGAGGTCCAAGGGTCCCAATTTGGGGCCAAGAGTCAGGATTTGGGTCAAGGGCTGGGGTTTTCCCTCATCCCCATCTCCCCTTTGTCCCGCAGGGCTCCGGGCGGCCGTGACCCTGCTGGAGTGTGGGGGGGACCTCCAGCGCCCCGGGGGGTCCCTGCACCTCCTCTGCCGAGGGTCCGGGTTCGATTTTGGACAATTTGGGATGGGCTGGATGCGCCAGAGACCTGGGCAGGGGCTGGAATACGTCGCGAGTGTCAACAACAATGGAGGTTACACCGAGTGCGCGCCATCAGTCCAGGGCCGGTTCAGGATCTCCAGGGACAACGGGCAGAGCTCGGTGACACTGACCATAACAACCTCAAGGACAAGGATTCCGGATCCTATTTCTGTGCCAAATCTGCTAATGCTGGTTGGCCTGCTGCTGCTACTCATATTGACCATGCCAGTTTTGGCATCACCCCTGTCTGAGCCCCCTGTCCCCAAACCCATCCCTTCTCCCGAACCTCAGCCCTTGACCCTTTGTCCCAGATCTCTCCCATTTGCCCCAATGGTCAGCACTGACCCTAAACCCTCCCCTGCTCCTGCCCCAAAACTCAGCCATTGGACCCAAACCTTCACCCCTGGCCTCCAGTTCATGCCTCCTCCAATCAGGGCCTGGGACTTCGTAGAGATTTGGGGGAAATGGGCAAAATTGGAGGAAAACACAGAGTTGGGGCAACAATGGCAGAGCTTGGGGGGAAATGGTCGAGGTTTTAGAAGGGCTGAAACTTGGGGGAAGTATCGCTGGACTGGAGAAATTTCACGACCATCATGGTCACTACCGGAAGTCAAGGAAAGCCGCAGCAGCATTACCATCAGCATAACCATTGTCACGTTTGGCACAGAAATAGGAGCCGCAATCCTCGTCCTTGAGGTTGTCCATGGTCAGCGTCACCGAGCTCTGCCCGTTGTCCCTGGAGATCGTGAACCGGCCCTTGACCGATGGCGCGTAGAAGGTGCTGCCACCACTGCTGCTGATACTGGCGATGTATTCCAGGGTCTGCCCGGATCTCTGGCAAAACCAGTACATCCCAAATTGTCCGAAATCAAACCCGGACCCTCGGCAGAGGAGGCGCAGGGACCCCCCGGGCGGCTGGAGTTCCCCCCCGCACTCCAGCAGGGTCACGGCCGCCCGGAGCCCTGCGGGACAAAGGGGAGATGGGGATGGGACACCTGATTGGTCAAGAGCCTCAATGCAGGTGTGGCCAGCTGGAAAAAGGGGCGGGATGCTCCTGGGAGGACGATGATGAACTCCAAGGGTCCCAATTTGGGGCCCAGAGTCAGGATTTGGGTCAAGGGTTGGGGTTTGGCCTCATCCCCATCTCCCCTTTGTCCCGCAGTGCTCCGGGCGGCTTTGACCCTGCTGGAGTGCGGGGGGGACCTCCAGCCCCCCGGGGGGTCCCTGCGCCTCCTCTGCCGAGGGGCCGGGTTTGATTTTGGGGATTTTAGAATGATCTGGATCCGACAGAAATCTGGGAAGACGCTGGAATACATTGCAAGTATCAGCAGTGGTGCTTACAGCGACTATGCGCCGTCGGTGCAGGGCCGGTTCACGATCTCCAGGGACAACGGGGCAGAGCTCGGTGACGCTGACCGTGAACAGCCTCAAGGACGAGGGTTCCGGATCCTATTTCTGTGCCAAACGTGGTACTGCTAGTAGTTACAGTTATGATAGTACTGCTCTAAGTGACAGTTCCGGCAATGGTCCCCCCCGCCATGATGGTCACCAGATGTCCCCGATCCCCGCAGATCCTTTCCCAATATCCCAGACCTTCTCCTATGATGTTCACCATTTACCCCCAAACTCTGGCATTACTGCCCCGATTTCTGACTTTCTCCAAATTTTGCCCATTTCACCCAAATCTCCCCCACCTCCCGGGTCCTGATTTGAGGAGGCCTGAACTGGAGCCCAGGGGTGAAGATTTGGGGCCAATGGTTGAGTTTTGGGGCAGGAGCAGGGCAGGGTTTGGGGTCAGTGCTGATCATTGGGGATGATGGAGACAAAGGGCCAAGGGCGGGGTCAATGGGTGTGGTTTGGGATGAAAATCAGAACTCTGGGGACTCAGTGATGGGAGTGGGATGAAAGGAAGGAGCTTGAGACCATCAGGGGCACCGTCACCATTAGGAGCAGCCCCATAAACATCAGCAGCCCTGGCACAGAAATAGGATCCGGAATCCTCGACCTTGAGGTTGTTCATGGTCAGCGTCACCGAGCTCTGCCTGTTGTCCCTGGAGATCCTGAATCGGCCCTTGACCGGATCTGCGTACCAGGTGCTGCCATCACTGCTGTTGATGCTGGCAATGTATTCCAGTGTCTGCCCGGGTCTCTGGCGGATCCAGAACATTCCATAACTCCTGAAACTGAACCCGGACCCTCGGCACAGCAACGTCAGGGACCCCCCTGGGGGGCTGCAGTTCCCCCCCACACTCCAGCAGGGTCACGGCCACCCGGAGCCCTGAGAGACAAAGGGGAGATGGGGATGGGAAACCTGATTAGTCGAGGGCCTCCTAGTGGGCAAGGCCAGATGGAAAAAGGGACGGGACCCACCTGGGAGGAGGATGATGAACTCCAAGGGTCCTAATATTTGACAAGAGTCAGGATTTGAGTCAAGGGTTGAGCTTTGGCCTCATCCCCATCTCCCCTTTGTCCCGCAGGGCTCCGGGCGGCCGTGACCCTGCTGGAGTGCGGGGGGGACCTCCAGGCCCCCGGGGTTCTCTGCGCCTCCTCTGCCGAGGGTCCGGGTTCGATTTTGGACAGTTTGGAATGGGATGGATGCGCCAGAGACCCGGGCAGGGGCTGGAATACATCGCCAGTATCAGCAACACGGGTGGTGGCACCAACTACGCGCCATCGGTGCAGGGTCGGTTCACGATCTCCAGGGACAACGGGCAGAGCTCGGTGACGCTGACCATGAACAACCTCAAGGATGAGGATTCTGGATCCTATTTCTGTGCCAAATGTGCTTACAGTGGTTATAGTTATGGTGGTGCTGCTTTTATTGACAATTTTGGCAGTGGTCCCGCCCTCCACGATGGTCACCAGATGTCTCCATTCCCATTTATCCTTCCTCCAGAGCCCAGCTTTTCTCTTCAAATGCTCAATATTTTCCCCCAAAACTCCGCCCCTGCTGCCCCAACTCTCGGCTTTCACCCAAGTTTGCCCATTTCACAGAAATCTCTCCAAGTTCCCCTGGCCCTGATTGGAGGAGGCCTGAACTGGCACCCAGGCTTGAAGGTTTGGGGCCAATGGTTGAGTTCTGGGGCAGGAGCAGGGGAGGGTTTGGGGTCAGTGCTGACCATTGGTGCAAATGGGGGAGATTTGGGACAAAGGGTCAAGGGCTGGGTCAATAGGTGAGGTTCGGGGGAAGTGTCTAGGACTGGGGACAGGGGGGGTTCAGTCATGGGCGGTGCCACCAGCGACATGGTCAAAATAAGCAGCATCAGCACCACCACCAGCACCACTCTCTTTGGCACCGAAATAGGTGGTAGAATCCTCGTCCTTGAGGTTGTTCATGGTCAGCGTCACTGAGCTCTGCCCGTTGTCCCTGGAGATCGTAAACCGGCCCTGTACCGATGGCGCGTAGAAGGTGCTGGAACCAGAAGGGCTGCTGATCCCCGCGACCCCCTCCAGCCCCTGCCCGGGTCTCTGGCGGATCCATTGCATGGTGAAACTGCTGAAACTGAACCCGGACCCTCGGCAGAGGAGGCGCAGGGACCCCCCCGGGGGGCTGGAGGTCCCCCCTGCACTCCAGCAGGGTCACGGCCGCCCAGAACCCTGCGGGACAAAGGAGAGATGATGGAAATCAAAACTCTGATTGGTCAAGGGCCCCCAAGTGGGTGTGGCCTGCTCGACAATGGGGTAGAATCCTCCTGGGAGGATGATGAACTCTAAAGATCCCAATTTGGGGTCAAGGGTCAGGATTTGGGTCAAGGGTTGAGCTTTGGCCTCATCCTCATCTCCCCTTTGTCCCGCAGGGCTCCGGGCGGCCGTGACCCTGCTGGAGTGCGGGGGGGACCTCCAGCCCCCCCGGGGGGTCCCTGCACCTCCTCTGCCGAGGGTCCGGGTTCAGTTTCGGGAGTTTCACCATGTACTGGATCTGCCAGAGACCCGGGAAGGGGCTGGCGTGGTTCGCAGGAATATACAGTGATGGTTCCAGCACCTGCTCCGCGCCGTCGGTCAAGGGCCGGTTCACGATCTCCAGCGACAATGGGCAGAGCTCAGTGACGCTGACCATGAACAACCTCAAGGACGAGGATTCCGCCACCTATTTCTCAGCCAAGGGTGCTGATAGTGGTTACCATAATCAGGCTGCTGCTTATCATTTGATCCTCTCCATATCCCAATGTCCCCACCTGTCCCCGTTCCCCAGACCATTCCCCCAAATCCCAGCCCCTGACCCCATTCCTGTCTCTGTGTCCCAGCCCTGAACTGGTTCTTCCCCAAATCTCCCCCATTTTCCCCGCAGATTCCCAACTCTCGTCCCCACTCCTTCACCCTTGGTGCCAACTTTTGTGCCAAACCCTCAGGATTTGGTGCCCCCAGCAGGGGTTTGGGGCCAGGGGTGCAGATTTGGGGCTGCCCCAGAGGGATTTATCCCCGCCCGGGAGTCTCTGTCCCAATCCCCACCGGGCCGGGGCTGTGGGGACCCCTCTGGAGCCTTTGGTTTCCCACCATCGCTCTCCTCACCGGGCCGTGGCCATGGGGAGGTGCCGGCGGCTCAAGGCCCCAGCAGCACACACAGAACTCAATGGCGCCGCTCAGCGCGAGAGGTTTGCGGCCAATCACACAAAGCAAAGGCAGATTGACACGGTGGGGCCGGATCTCGGACATCCTCGTCAGTTTTGGGGAATTTGGTTGGGACGTGGAGCCCAGAGCTGAGATTTGGGGCCAGGAGCTGAGACTGGGGCAGAGCCAGTTCAGAGCTGGGACGGGAGGACAGGAATGGGGTCAGGGCTGGGGACTGGGGAAGGGTCTGGGGTATTGGGACAGGGGGGACACCTGGATGGCGATGGGGTCAATACCACAGGCATCATTAGCAGCAGCATTGTTATAATAACCCCTGGCGCAGAAATAGGATCCGGAATCCTCGTCCTTGAGGTTGTTCATGGTCAGCGTCACTGAGCTCTGCCCGTTGCCCCTGGAGATCGTGAACCGACCCTTGACTGATGGCGAGCAGATGGTGCTGCCATCACCACTGATCCCTGCGAGCCACTCCAGCCCCTGCCCAGGTCTCTGATGGACCCAGCTCATGGAGTAGCTGCTGAAATTGAAGCCAGATGTTTGGCACAGCAACGTCAGGGAACCCCCGGGGGGCTGGAGTTCCCCCCCGCACTCCAGCAGGGTCACGGCCGCCTGGAGCCCTGCAGGACAAAGGGGAGATGGGGATGAGAAACCTGATTGGTTGAATGTCTCATACTGCATGCGTCCAGCTGGGAAAATGGGATGTGACCCACCTGGGAGGAGGAGGGTGATGAACTCAAAGGGTCCCAGTTTGGGGCCAAGAGTCAGGATTTTGGTCAAGGGTTGAGCTTTGTCCATCCCCATCTCCCCTTTGTCCCGCAGGGCTCCGGGCGGCCGTGACCCTGCTGGAGTGCGGGGGGGAACTCCAGCCCCCCAGGGGGTCCCTGCGCCTCCTCTGCCGAGGGTCCGGGTTCAGTTTCGGGAGTTTTAACATGGAATGGGCTCGACAGAGACCTGGGCAGGGGCTGGAATTCGTTGCCTACATCAGCAACACTGGTGGCTACACCCACTACGCGCCGTCAGTCAAGGGCCGGTTCAGGATCTCCAGGGACAACGGGCAGAGCTCAGTGACGCTGACCATGAACAACCTCAAGGACGAGGATTCCGCCGTTTATTTCTGTGCCAAATCTTCTTATGCTCGTGCTGGTGGTGGTGCTGCTGCTGCTCCTGCTTATATTGACCGTGTTGGTGGTGGCACCACCCCTGTCTGAGCCCCCCCTGTCTCCAATGTCACACCCCTCCCCCCCCAAACCTCAACCCTTGACCCCTTGTCCCAAATCTCCCCCATTTGCCCCAATGGTCAGCACTGACCCCAAACCCTCCCCTGCTCCTGCCCCAAAACTCAACCATTGGCCCCAGCCTTCACCCCTGGGCTCCAGTTCAGGCCTCCTCCAATCAGGGCCCGGGAGCCCGGGGAGATTTGGGGGAAATGGGCAAAACTAGGGGAAAGTGGAGAGTTGGGCTAGTTGGGGCAGAGTTTGGGGGAAAATGACTGAGATTTGCGGTAAAGGGATGGGATTTGGGGGAAGGATCCAAGAATTCTCATATGCTTGGGAAACCAGAGGAGAGGGCTTGGGACTACAACCACCATCAATACCATAAGGATAAGCAGGGCTACCACAACCACTGGCGAAACATTTGGCACAGAAATAGGATCCGGAATCCTCAACCTTGAGGTTGTTCATGGTCAGCGTCACCGAGGTCTGCCCGTTGTCCCTGGAGATCGTGAACCGACCCCTGACTGATGGGGCGTACCAGGAGCTGCCACCACTGCTGTAGATACTCGCAACCCACTCCAGCCCCTGCCCGGGTCTCTGGCGGATCCAGAACATGTCGTAACTCCGAAAACTGAACCCGGACCCTCGGCAGAGGAGGCGCAGGGACCCCCCGGGGGGCTGGAGGTCCCCTCCGCACTCCAAAGGGGTCACGGCCGCTCCCCCATCTCCAAACTTCCGCCGGTTTTCACCAGACTCCCCTGGTTTGCTCCCAAATCTACACCAGAGTGTTCCATAATCGAGGGTGCCTCAAACCCTACAATTAACCCCAGTCCACTCATTAATTACTTGGACAGCTCGTCCTGAAACCTCTGCATTAATTGTCGAATTAACATCTTCGTAACGACCCCCAAAACCCTCTGGGACCCCCAGCCCGGCACATCCTGGCCACGGCTTTGAGCTCCCTCCGGCTCCTGTCCCTGTTGGCCCTTCCAAGTGTGTCAAGGTCCCTTTATCCAGTTGGCCACACCCACTTCATGCCCACAGCCAATCAGGTTTCCCATCCCCATCTCCCCTTTGTCCCGCAGGGCTCCGGGCGGCCGTGACCCTGCTGGAGTGCGGGGGGCACCTCTAGCCCCCCGGGGGGTCCCTGCGCCTCCTCTGCCGAGGGTCCGGGTTCAGTTTTGGGGATTTTGAAATGTATTGGGTCCGCCAGAGACCCGGGCAGGGGCTGAAATGGCTCGGGAGTATCAACAGCAATGGATGTTACACCGACTATGCGCCATCGGTCAAGGGCCAGGTCGCGATCTCCAGGGAGAACGGGCAGAGCTCGGTGACGCTGACCATGAACAACCTCAAGGACGAGGATTCCGGATCCTATTTCTGCGCCAAATGTTACAGAAGTGGCTCTGGTAATGGCGCTTATGCTTATGGTGTTGATGGTGGTTGTGGTCCCAAGCTGTTTTTTCTGTGTTCCCAAGTATCACAGAATTCTCTGATCCTTCCCCAAAATCCCAGCCCTACTCCAGAAATCTCAGCACTTTCCCCCCAAACTTGGCCTCTGCTGCCCCAACTCTGGACTTTCCCCCAGTTTTGCCCATTTCATCCAAATCTCCCCCAGCTCCTCGGGCCCAGATTGGCGAGGCCTGAACTGGAGGCCAGGGGTGAAGGTTTGGGGCCAATGGTGGAGTTTTGGGGCAGGAGCAGGAGAGGGTTTGGGGTCAGTGCTGATCATTGGGGATGATGGAGACAAAGGGCCAAGGGCGGGGTCAATGGGTGAGGTTTGGGATGAAAAGCAGAACTCTGGGGACACAATGATGGGAGTGGGATGAAAGGCAGGAGCTTGAGACCATCAGGGGCATCGTCACCATTAGCAGCAGCACCATAACCATCAGCAGCCCTGGCACAGAAATAGGATCCGGAATCCTCGACCTTGAGGTTGTTCATGGTCAGCGTCACCGAGCTCTGCCCGTTGTCCCTGGAGATCGTGAACCGGCCCTTGACGGATGGCGCGTAGTAAGTGGCTCCACCAATGTTTATGTACGCCACGAATTCCAGCCCCTGCCCGGGGCTCTGGCGCACCCAGTTAATGGCAAAATTGCCGAAACTGAACCCGGACCCTCGGCAGAGGAGGCGCAGGGACCCCCCGGGGGGCTGTAGTTCCCCCCCGCACCCCAGCAGGGTCACAGCTGCCCGGAGCCCTGCGGGACAAAGGGGAGATGGGGATGAGGGGATGGATTGGCTGTGTGGTAAAAGTTGGCGCTGCCATTCCAGAAAAAGTGTGTGGGATCAACCCGGGATGACTGGCAGGAGTTGCAGGAGAAAGAGGGTGACGTCCAAGAGTCGCAATTTTTGGGCAACATCAGGATCTGCATGCAAGAATCAATATTTGGGTGGATGTTTTCCTACATTCCCATCTCCCCTTTGTCCCGCGGGGCTCCGGGCGGCCGTGACCCTGCTGGAGTGCGGGGGGGACCTCCAGCCCCCCGGGGGGTCCCTGCGCCTCCTCTGCCGAGGGTCCGGGTTCGATTTCGGGAGTGTTGACATGTTCTGGATCCGCCAGAGACCCGGGCAGGGGTTGCAATACGTCGCAAGGATCTACAACACTGGAGGTTACACCGTCTACGCGCCGTCGGTCAAGGGCCGGTTCAGGATCTCCAGGGACAACGGGCAGAGCTCGGTGACGCTGACCATGAAAAACCTCAAGGACAAGGATTCCGCCACCTATTTCTGTGCCAAATGTTACAGTAGTAGTTGTTGTGGTGGTGGTGCTGCTTATGGTGTAGATGGTGGTTGTGGTCTTGAGCCCTTTCTTCTGTGTTCCCAGGTATCACAGAATTCTCTGATCCTTACCCCTGGTTCCAGCCCTTTTTATTAAATCTTCACCATTTCCTCCAAACTCCTCCCCTGTTGCCGCAATTTTTGGTTTCCCCCCATATTTCCCCATTTCTCCCCAGTCTGGCCCTTCCCCTCAATCCAAGTGCGGAACGGGGATCGCTCCAGGGCCCTTTGCACACAAAGCTTTTTGTGCCGCCGGCGCTCTGCTGCAGCGCCCCGAGGCTGAGCTGCCCTCTGCCAAACACAGATGTTCACAATGACAAAAACCAGGAACTTTCTGTTTCCTTTCCTGCCCTGGCCGGGCCCCGGCAGCTGCCGGGGAGGAAGTGGGGGGAGGCTGCGGAGCCCCAAAATCGCGGCGTCTTCTCCTCCCTCCCTCCCTCCCTCCCTCCCTCGCTCCCACCTGGGGCTTCACTTCTCCCTCAGCGGCCTTGGTGTCTGGGGCTGCTCCTTGGGGCTGGGCTGGAATCCTCTCTGGGGGGTATGGAGAAAAGACCCTTTTTTAACCAAAAACACATGAAATTTTGGGGAGATGAAATTGTTGAAATTGATCTCGATCCAAGGGCTCCATGCTGAGAGAAGCAGATGGGTGCAAGGGTGGAGCCACCTGGAACGTTCCATTGGTCAAGGGCCGGGTCAGCACGGCCAGGGACAGCGGGCTGAGCTCGGTGACGCTGGCCATGTGTGACCACAGGGGAAAGGTCTGGGGACAGCTGAGGACATGGGGATGGGGACACAGCCAAAAGCACCGGCAGTGTCAGCATTGCCACCAGAAATACGCTTGGCACAGAAATACGATCCAGAATCCTCGTCCTTGAGGCTGTTCATGGTCAGCGTCACAGAACTCTGCCCGTTGTCCCTGGAGATCGTGAACCGGCCCTTGACCGACGGCGCGTAGAAGGTGTTGACACCATCAGCGTTGATCCCAGCAATGAATTCAGGCGCCTGCCCGGGTCTCTGGCGGATCCAGTACATTCCATAATTCCCAAACTCGAACCCGGACCCTCAGCAGAGCAACGTCAGGGACCCCCCGGGGGGCTGGAGGTCCCCCCCGCACTCCAGCAGGGTCACGGCCGCCCGGAGCCCTGCGGGACAAAGGGGAGATGGGGATTAGAAACCTGTTTGGCTGTGGGCCTCAAAGTGGGTGTGTCAAACGGGAAAATGGGGTGGGACCCACCTGAGAGGGGCAGCAGGAACAGGACAACTAGGATGGGGTGGTCCAAAGGTCCCAGTTTGGGGCCCAGAGTCAGGATTTGGGTCAAGGGTTTGAGCTTTGGCCTCATCCCCATCTCCCTTTGTCCCGCAGGGCTCTGGGCGGCCGTGACCCTGCTGGAGTGCAGGGGGGACCTCCAGCCCCCCGGGGGGTCCCTGCGCCTGCTCTGCTGAGGGTCCGGGTTCAGTTTCAGCAGCTCTGACATGCTCTGGATCCGCCAGAGACCCGGTCAGGCGCTGGAATCGGTTGCAGGGATCAACACTGGTGTAGGCACCACCGACTACGCGCCATCTGTCAAGGGTCGGTTCAGGATCTCCAGGAACAACGGGCAAAGCTCGGTGACGCTGACCATGAACAACCTCAAGGACGAGGATTCCGGGTCCTATTTCTGTGCCAAATTTGCTGGTGCCGGTAATTGGGATGCTGCTCCAGTTTATCCTTTTGGCCTTTTCCCTGTTCCCCACACCCTTCCCCCATACCCCAACCCCTGACCCCATTCCTCAGCCTGTGTCCCAGCCCAGCTCTGGCTCTGCCCCACATGTACCCTCTGGGCCACACTCAGTGCCGTCGTTACCCAAAAGTTACCGAAATGTCTGGATTTGGGCCCAAAGTAAAGATCAGGGATCAAGAATTCAAATTTTAGCCCAAAATACCTGATGTGAGGCCAACGGCGCAGATTTGGGTTGGTGGCTGGGACTCGATGCCCGCAGGGGAGATTTGGGCTGAAACTTGACAAGTCTGGGGGCAGTGGTTGGGACTGGAGGGACGAGGCCGAGCTCAGGGTGAAACCGGCCCTGATTTGGGGCCAGGAGCTGAGATTTTGGGCCAGGAGCTGAGATTTGGGGCCAGAGCAGGGCAGGGTTGGGACACAAGGACAGGAATGGGGTCAGGAGCTGGGGTTTTGGGGAAGAGTCTGGGGAACGGGGACGGGAGGGGATGCAGGGATGGGGCCGAAACGTCAAACATCAGCAGCATAAGGAGCAGCACCAGGATCAGTGCGTTTGGCACAGAAATAGGATCCTGAAACCTCGTCCTTGAGGTTGTTCATGATAAGCGTCACCGAGCTCTGCCCGTTGTCCCTGGAGATCGTGAACCGGCCCTTGAACGATGGCGCATACCCTGTCCAACCACCATTGTAGCTGATACTCGCAACCCACTCCAGCCCCTGCCCGGGTCTCTGGGGCACCCAGAGCATTGCGTAGCTTCCAAAACTGAACCCGGACCCTTGGCAGAAGAGGCGCAGGGACCCCCCCGGGGGGCTGGAGGTCCCCCCTGCACTCCAGCAGGGTCACGGCCGCCCGGAGCCCTGCGGGACAAAGGGGAGATGGGGATGGACAAAGCTCAACCCTCGAGCGAAATCCTGACTCTGGGCCCTAAACTGGGACCCTTGGACCTCCTCTGCCGCAGCGCCCAGAGGCTGAGCTGCCCTCTGCCAAGCATAGATGTTCACAATGACCAAAACCAGGAACTTTCTCTTTCCTTTCCTGCCCCGGCCGGGCCCCGGCAGCTGCCACGGAGGAAGTGGGGGGAAGCTGCGGAGCCCCAAAATCACGGCATCTTCTCCTCCCTCCCTCCCTCGCTCCCATCTGGGGCTTCACTTCTCCCTCAGCGGCCTTGGTGTCTGGAGCTGCTCCTTGGGGTTGGGCTGGAATCCTGTCTGGGAACTCTGGACATGGCGACGATGCTGGTGGTGGCCCCAAACCCCCATCCCTGGCTCCCCAAATGTCCCAAAATCCCCAAATCCTGTCCCAAATCCCAACCCTTGACTCCATTCTTGACCTTCTCCCCAGTGTCCACCATCATTGCCCCAACATTCGACTTTATCCCAATTTTTCCCATTTCACCCAAATCTCCGGCAGCTCCCTGGGCACTGATTGAAGGAGGCCTGAATTGGAGCCCAGCGGTGCAAGTTTGGGGCCAATGGTTGAGTTTTGGGGCAGGAGCAGGGGAGGGTTAGGGGTCAGTGCTGACCATTGGGGCAAATGGGGGAGATTTGGGACAAAGGGTCAAGGTTGCAGTTCGGGGGAAGGGTCTGGGTTTGGGGACAGGTGGGACTTGGAGATCAGCGTGGATCCATAACTGGCGTCTTCATCAGAAGCAGCAGCACTCCAATCATTATCATAGCCAGATTTGCACAGAAATAGGATCCGGAATCCTCGTCCTTGAGGTTGTTCATGGTCAGCATCACCGAGCTCTGCCCGTTTTCCCTGGAGATCCTGACCCGGCCCTTGACCGATGGCGCGTACGCGGTGTACGCACCACTGCTCCAGATCCCTGCAACATATTCAAGCCCCTTCCCGGGTCTCTTGCAGATCCAATACATGGTAAAACTGCAAAAACTGAACCCGGACCCTCAGCAGCGTAGGCGCAGGGACCCCCCGGGGGGCTGGAGGTCCCCCCCGCACTCCAGCAGGGTCACGGCTGCCCGGAGCCCTGCGGGACAAAGGGGAGATGGGGATGAGAAACCTGATTGGCTGAGGGACTTAAAGCTGGTGTGGCCAGAGGGAAAAAGGGGCAGGACCCACCTGGGGGGAGGATGATGAACTCGCAGGGTCCCATTTTGGGGCCCAGAGTCAGGATTGGGGTCAAGGGTTGAGCTTTGGCTTCATCCCCATCTGCCCTTTGTCCCGCAAGGCTCCGGGCGGCCGTGACCCTGCTGGAGTGAGGGGGGGACCTCCAGCCCCCCACGGGGTCCCTGCGCCTCCTCTGCTGAGGGTCTGGGTTCAATTTCGGCAGTTTTGCCATACAATGGGTTCGCCAGAGACCGGGCCAGGTATTGGAATGGGTCACCTACATCAGGAGTGATGGTTCCAACATTTACTATGCACCATCGGTCAAGGGCCGTGTCACGATCTCCAGGGACAACGGGCAGAGCTCGGTGACGCTGACCATGAACAACCTCAAGGACGAGGATTCCGGATCCTATTTCTGTGCCAAGGATGCCTATAGCAATTGGAGTTCTGGTCCTGATTGTGTTGAACCCATGCCCTTGTCCCACCCAGACCGGCTGTCCCCGACCCTTCTTCCAAACCTCAGCCCCTGACCCCATTCCTGAGCCCATGTCTCAACCCTGCACTGGCTCGGCACCAAATTCTGCACTCTTGTCATTAGAGTTGACCGAAATTTTGACCCAAACCTTGACTGCCAGCTTTGGAGCAAAATCTTGGGGCACAAAGAGATTTGGGCTCAGGAGTTGTGGTTTGGGGTCAGCGAGTGAGAATTGGGGCCGAGAAAGAGCAAGGTTGGGATCAATGGTCAAGGGCTTGGTGTGGGCTGGGGCTTTGGGGGAAGGGTCTGGGCAATGGGGACAGGGGGGCACACGCAGATGGGGGTGGCACCGACATCAATACGAGGAGCACCAGCACGAGCGTTGTAGGATTTGTCACAGAATTAGGATCCAGAATCCTCGTCCTTGAGGTTGTTCATGGTCAGCGTCACCTAGCTCTGCCCATTGTCCCTGGAGATCCTGAACCGGCCCTTGACTGAATCTGCGTAGCCGGTGCCTCCACCAGTGTAGCTGATCCCCGCGACCCACTCCAGGCCCTGCCCAGGTCACGGCTGCCCGGAGCCCTGCGGGAAAAAGGGGAGATGGGGATGGGGCGATGCAAAAGTCAGGCAGAGCTGTCTAATTAATTAATGGGTGGATTGGGGCTAATTGCGTGGTTTAAGGCACTTTACCATTCAGGATACATCTGTTGGATGTTTGGGGACAAAAAAAGGGAATTTGGGGCAAAACCGGTGAAGGTTTGGGGATGGGGGAGCAGCCGTGACCCTTCTAGAGTCCGGGGGGGACCTCCAGCCCCCGGGGGGGTCCCTGCGCCTCCTCTGCCAAGGGTCCGGGTTCAGTTTTGGGGATTATGGAATGTTCTGGATCCGCCAGAGACCCGGGCAGGGGCTGGAGTGGCTAACGGGGATCCGCAGTGGTGCTTACACCGAGTACGCGGGTTCAGTCAAGGGCCGCTTCAGGATCTCCAGGGAAAACGGGCAGAGCTCGGTGACGCTGACCATGAACAACCTCAAGGACGAGGATTCCGGATCCTATTTCTGCACCAAGGCTGCTGGTGCCAGTTGGGGTAATGGTGTCTCTGCTCTTGGCCTCTTCCCCTTGACTGGGTCCCCTCCTGCCCCCAGGCCCCAGACCCTTCCCCCAAATCTCAGTCCTTGACCCCATTCTTGACCCCTTGTCCCAGATCTCCCCCAGTTCCAACACCACCAACCGCAGCGCCAAAACCCCCAATCGCGTTCTGCCCCAAATCCATCTATATTGGCCCCAAAAATGGCCCGAATCTGCCCCAAATCCCCATTTTGTGCTCCCTGCAGCAGCAGCCGCTGACACGAATCCTCAACCTTTGTCCCCAAATCGGGACTCTTGGCCTCAAACCCCGACCTTCAGAGCAAAGTTTTAGGGCACAAAGTAGAGATTTGGGGTCAGGAGTTGTGGTTTGGGGTCAGTGGGTGAGAATTGGGGCCGAACCAGAGCAAGGTTGGGATCAATGGTCAAGGGATGGGTGTGGGCTGGGGGTTTGGGGGAAGGGTCTGGGCAACGGGGACAGGGGGATCACAGGGATGGGAGAGGGGACACCTTGGGCATCGTCACTACGACCAGCACTTTCAGCGTAATTATTAGCAGCACACTTGGCGCAGAAATAAACGGCGGAATCCTCGTCCTTGAGGTTGTTCATGGTCAGCGTCACCGAGCTCTGCCCGTTGTGCCTGGAGATCCTGAACCGGTCCTTGAATGACAGGGCGTATCTGGGAGTGGCGCCATCACTGGTGACACTCGCGAAAAACTCCAGCCCCTGCCCGGGTCTCTGCCGCATCCAGCCCATCCCAAAATTTCCAAAATCGAACCCGGACCCTCGGCAGAGGAGGCGCAGGGACCCCCCGGGGGGCTGGAGGTCCCCCCCGCACTCCAGCAGGGTCACCGCCGCGCGGAGCCCTGAGGGACAAAGGGGAGATGGGGATGGGAAACCTGATTGGTTGAGAACCTCAAAGTGGGCGTGGCCAACGGGAAAAAAGGGACAGGACCCACCTGGGGGGAGGATGATGAACCCCAAGGGTCCCAGTTTTGGGACAAGAGTCAGGATTTGGGTCAAGGATTGAGCTTTGGCCTCATCCCCATCTCCCCTTTGTCCCACAAGGCTCTGGGCGGCCGTGACCCTGCTGGAGTGTGGGGGGGACCTCCAGCTCCCGGGGGGTCCCTGCACCTCCTCTGCCGAGGGGCTGGGTTCGATTTTGGACAATTTGGGATGCGCTGGATGTGCCAGAGACCCGGGCAGGGGCTGGAACACATTGGAGGGATCAAAAGCGATGGCAGCACCTACTACGCGCCATCGTTCAAGGGCCGGGTCACGATCTCCAGGGACAACGGGCAGAGCTCGGTGACGCTGACCATGAACAATCTCAAGGACGAGGATTCCGGATCCTATTTCTGTGCCAGATGCAGTGATGGTGGTTGGAATGGTGCTGCTGTTGCTTATGGTAACAATCTTCAGCATCGCCCCAAGGCCGCTGCCCGAGTTCCCAAAATTTCCCAAATTACTTCTCCTAAATCCCAACCCTTGACCCCATTCTTGACCTTACTCCCCAGTCTCCACTATTGCTGTCCGAATTCCTGATGTTTCCCCAGTTTTGCCCATTTCACCCAATCTCCCCCAGCTCCCCAGGCCCTGATTGGCTGAGCTGGCACAGGCAGAAATGGGAACTCTTGGAGAGCAAGGCCTGAACTGGAGGCCAGGGGTGTAGGTTTGGGGCCAATGGTTGAGTTTTGGGGCAGGAGCAGGGGAGGGTTTGGGGTCAGTGCTGACCATTGGTGCAAACGGGGGAGATTTGGGACAAAGGGTCAAGGGCTGAGGTTTGGGGGACAATTTGAAGGGAGAATCTCAGTTTGGGGACAGGTGAGGACACAGAGATGGGGTGAATCCACCACGGCCATCGTCACTATAAGCAGCAGCACCAGCACCAGGACCACTACCAGCACGTTTGTCACAGAAATAGGATCCGGAATCCTCGTCCTTGAGGTTGTTCATGGTCAGCGTCACCGAGCTCTTCCCATTGTCCCTGGAGATTGTGACCCGGCTGTTGACTGAATCCGCGTAGCCGGAGTTGCCACCATCGTTCCTGATCCATGCGAGCCACTCCAGCCCCTGCCCGTGTCTCTGTCGGATCCAGAACATGTCGTAGCTCCCGAAACTGAACCCGGACCCTCGGCAGAGGAGGCGCAGGGACCCCCCGGGGGTCTGGAGGTCCCCCCCGCATTCCAGCAGGGTCACGGCCTCCCAGAGCCTTGCGGGACAGAGGGGAAATGGGGATGAGGCCAAAGCTCAACCCTTGACCCAAACCCTGACTCTGGGCCCGAAACTGGAACCTTTGGACCACCCCATCCTAGTTGTCCTGCTCCGGCTGCGCCTCTAAGGTGAGTCCCACCCCATTTTCCGGTTTGACACACCAACTTTGTGGCCCTCAGCCAATCAGGTTCCTCATCCCCATCTCCCCTTTTTCCCGCAGGACTCTGGGCGGCCGAGACCCTGCTGGCGTGCGGGGGGGACCTCCAGCCCCCCGGGGGGTCCCTGCGCCTCCTCTGCCAAGGGTCCAGGTTCGTTTTCAGTAGTTTTGGGATGGGCTGGCATTGCCAGAGACCCGGGCAGCGGCTGGAAGCAGTCGCCAGTATCAGCAGCCATGGCAGCGCCTACTATGCGGATTCGGTCAAGGGCCGGTTCAGGATCTCCAGGGACAACGGGCAGAGCTCGGTGACGCTGACCATGAACAACCTCAAGGACGAAGATTCCGGATCCTATTTCTGTGCCAAATCTTACAGAACTGGTAGGGCTGCTGCTGCTGTTGCTTATACTGACCATGCCAGTGGTGGCATCACCATTTCTGAGCCCCGCCTGTTCCCAAATCTCAGACCCTTCCTTCAAATGTCAGCCCTTGACCCCATTCTTGACCCTTTGTCCCAGATCTCCCCCATTTCCAACACCACCAAGCACGGAGCCACAACCCGCGAACTGCTTCTGCCCCAAACCCAACTAAGTTGGCACCAAACCTCGCCCGAATCTGCCCCAAATCCCCACTTTATGCTCCCTGCAGCAGCAGCCACTGACCAAATCCTCAACCTTTGTCCCCAAATAGGGACCCTGGGCCTCAAACCCCGACCTTCAGAGCAAAGTTTGGGGCACAAAGAGGAGATTAGGGGTCAGGAGTTGTGGTTTGGGGTCAGCGGGTACGAATTGGGGCGGAGGCAGAGCAAGGTTGGGATCAATGGTCAAGGGCTGGGTGTGGGCTGGGGGTTTGGGGGAAGGGTCTGGGCAATGGGGACAGGGAAGGGATAAGGGGATGGGGATGGGGACACCATGGGCATCGCCACTACGAGCAGCATGTTCAGGGTAATTATTAGCAGCACACTTGGCGCAGAAATAAACGGCGGAATCCTCGTCCTTGAGGTTGTTCATGGTCAGCGTCACCGAGCTCTGCCCGTTGTCCCTGGAGATCGTGACCCGGCCCTTGACCGATGGCGCGTAGATGGTGTTGGCACTATTGTAGTGGAGTCCTGCGACGTATTCCAAAGCCTGCCCGGGTCTCTGGCGGATCCAGTACATTCCATAATCCCCGAAAATGAACCCGGACCCTCGGCAGAGGAGGCGCAGGGACCCCCCGGGGGGCTGGAGGTCCCCCCCGCACTCCAGCAGGGTCACGGCCACCCAGAGCCCTGCGGGACAAAGGGGAGATGGGGATGAGAAACCTCATTACTCTAGAGCTTCAAAGTGGGCATGGCTGCAGGTAAAAGGGGCAGGACCCACCTGGGAGGAGGAGGATGATGAACTCCAAGGGTCCCAGGAGGGGCAAAGTGTCAGGTTTTGGGTCAAGGGTTGAGCTTTGGCCTAATCCCCATCTCCCCTTTGTCCCACAAGGCTCCAGGCGGCCGTGACCCTGCTGGAGTGCGGGGGAGACCTCCAGCTCCCCAGGGGGTCCCTGACGTTGCTGTGCCGAGGGTCCGGGTTCGATGTCGGCGCCATCACCATGTTCTGGGTCCACCAGAAACCCGGGCAGGGGCTGGAGTGGGTTGGGAGCATCAGGAAGGAGGGCTGGAACTCCATGTACGCGCCTTCCGTGCAGGGCCGGTTCAGGATCTCCAGGGACAACGGGCAGAGCTCGGCGACGCTGACCATGAACAACCTCAAGGTCGAGGATTCCGGATCCTATTTCTGTGCCAGGGCTGCTGATGGTTATAGTGCTGCTGCTAATGGTGACGATGCCCCTGATGGTCTCAAGCTCCTGCCGTTCATCCGACTCCCATCTTTGAGTCCCCAGAGTTCTGCTTTTCATCCCAAACCTCACCAATTTACCCAGCCCTTGACCCTTTTTCCCCATTTGCACCAATGGTCAGCACTGACCCCAAACCCTGCCCTGCTCCTGCCCCAAAACTCAACCATTGGCCCCAAACCTTCTCCCCTGGGCTCCAGTTCATGCCTCCTCCAATCAGGGCCCGGGAGCTGGGGGAGATTTTAGTGAAATGGGCAAAATTGGGGAAACATCAGGAATTCGGACAGCAATAGTGGAGACTGGGGAGTAAGTTCAAAAATGGGGTCAAGGGTTGGGATTTGGGAGTAGGATTTTGGGAAATTTTGGGAACTCGGGCTGCGGGCTTGGGGTGATGCTGAGGATTGTCACCATAAGAAACAGCAGATCCATTCCAACCACCATCACTGCATCAGGTACAGAAATAGGATCCTGAATCCTCGTCCTTGAGGTTGATCATGGTCAGCGTCACCGAGCTCTGCCCGTTGTCCCTGGAGATCGTGACCCGGCCCCTGAACGATGGCATGTAGTAGGTGCTGCCATCGCTTTTGAACCCTCCAATGTGTTCCAGCACCTGCCCGGGTTTCTGGCACATCCAGTGCATCCCAAATTGTCCAAAATCGAACCCGGACCCTCGGCAGAAGAGGGGCAGGGACTCCCTGGGGGGCTGGAGTTCCCCCCCGCACTCCAGCAGGGTCACAGCCACTGCCCATCCCCAAACCTTCACTGGTTTGCCCCAAATTCCCTTTGTCTCGCCCCAAATCTCCAACAGAGATTTCCAGTATTGTAAAGTGCTTTAAACCCTGCAATGAGCCCCAGTCCACCCATTAATTAATTGGACACCTCCACCTGACTTTTACAACCCCTCATCCCCATCTCCCCTTTTTCCCGCAGGGCTCTGGGCGGCCGTGACCCTGCTGGAGTGCGGGGGGAACCTCCAGCCCCCCGGGGGGTCCCTGCGCCTCCTCTGCCGAGGGTCCGGGTTCAGTTTCGGCAATTTTGGAATGGCCTGGATCCGCCAGAGTCCCGGGCAGGGGCTGCAGTGGGTTCGAACCATCAGCAGCAGTGGTGGCAGCACCATCTACGCGGATTCAGTCAAGGGCCGGTTCATGATCTCCAGGGACAATGGGCAGAGCTCGGTGACGCTGACCATGAACAACCTCAAGGTCGAGGATTCCGGATCCTATTTCTGTGCCAAGGATGCTGATGGTTATGGTGCTGTTCCTAATGCTGGTTGGGGATGGGGTGACCTTCACCGTCAGTATAACCAGCACCATAATTATAGTAACCAGGAGCAGATCTGGCGCAGAAATAGGATCCGGTATCCTCGTCCTTGAGGTTGGTCATGGTCAGGGACATGGAGCTCTGCCCATTGTCCCGGGAGATTGTGAACCGGCCTTGCACCGACGGCGCGTAGAAGGTGTAACCCCCACTGCCGTAGTAGATGCTGGCGATGAATTCCAGCCCCTGCCCAGGTCTCTGATGCATCCAGAACAGGTCAAATTTGTCAAAATCGAACCCAGACCCCAGGCAGAGGAGGATCAGGGACCCCCCGGGGGGCTGGAGGTCCCCCCCGAACTCCAGCAGGGTCACGGCTGCCCGGAGCCCTGTGGGAAAGAGTGGAGATGGGGATGAGGCCAAAGCTCAACCCTTGACCCAAATCCTGACACTTGGCCCTAAACTGGGACCCTTGAATTTCATCATCCTCCTCCCAGGTGGGTCCTGCCCCTTCTTCCAGCTGGCCTTGCCCACTAGGAGGCCTTCGACCAATCAGGTTTCTCATCCCCATCTCCCCTTTGTCCCGCAGGGCTCCGGGCGGCCGTGACCCTGCTGGAGTGCGGGGGGGACCTCCAGCCCCCCAGGGGTTCCCTGCACCTCCTCTGCCGAGGGTCCGGGTTCGATTTCGGGACTTTCTTCATGTTTTGGATCCACCAGAGACCCGGGCAGGCTTTGGAATACTTTGCAAGCATCTACTACAATGGTGCCAACACCTACGACGCGCCATCGGTCAAGGGCCGGGTCACGATCTCACGGGACAACGGGCAGAGCTCGGTGACGCTGACCATGAACAACCTCAAGGACGAAGATTCCGCCATTTATTTCTGCACCAAACGTAGCTGTAATGGTTATGGTTCTGCTGGTCCTGCTCGTATTGACAATTCCTGCCGTGGCCCCAGCCCCATTGCAGTCCCAACTGCCCACAAATCCCCAGAGATCCTGCCCCGACTCCCAGCTCTGTTCATCAAATCTTTACCAGTTCCATCCAAACTCCGCCCCTGCTGCCCCAACTATCGGCTTTCCCCCAGTTTTGCCCATTTCACCCAAATCTCCCCCAGCTCCCCGGGCCCTGATTGGAGGAGGCCTGAACTGGAGGCCAGGGGTGAAGGTTTGGGGCCAATGGTTGAGTTTTGGGGCAGGAGCAGGGGAGAGTTTGGGGTCAGTGCTGACCATTGGTGCAAATGGGGGAGATTTGGGACAAGGGGCCAACGGCTGAGGTTTGGGGGGAGGGTCTGAGGACTCGGGGCATTTGGGAACCCATCAAGAAAGGCAGGGCTGAAACCAACATCAATACCATAAGCTTCGTAATTAGAACCAGCATAAGGAGACTTTGCACAGAAATAGGATCCGGAATCCTTGTCCTTGAGGTTGTTCATGGTCAGCGTCACTGACCTCTGCCCATTGTCCCTGGAGATTGTGATCTGGCCCTTTACAGATGGCGCGTATGCGGTGTAGGAACCACTGCTGATCCCTGCGACCCATTCCTGAGCCTGCCCCTGTCTCTGGTGGATCCACATCATTCCAGACTGTCCGAAATCGAACCTGGCCCCTCGGCAGAGGAGGCGCAGCGACCCCCCGGGGGGCTGGAGCTTCCCCCCGCACTCCAGCAGGGTCACGGCCGCCCGGAGCCCTACAGGACAAAGGGGAGATAGGGATGGGAAACCTGATTGGTCGAGGGCTGCAAACTGGGAGGATCAAGCTTGATAAAGTATCGAGACCCACATGGGGGGAGGATGAGGAACTCCAAGGGTCCAAGTTTGGGGCCAAGAGTCAGGATTTGGGTCAATGTTGAGCTTTGGCCTCATCCCCATCTCCCATGGGGGTCCCTGTGCCTGCTCTGCCGGGGGGCCGGGTTCCGTCTCGGTCGTTCTGATCTGCACTGGATCCGCCAGAGCCCCGGGAAGGGGCTGCAGTGGGTGGCCGCCATCGACAGCCACGGTGGCACCGACTTTGCGCCGTCACTGCGGGGCCGGGTCGCGATCTCCAGGGACAACGGGCAGAGCTCCATTTCCCTGACCGTCAACAACCTCAAGGACGAGGATTCCTGATCCTATCCTATTTCTGCGCCAAGGGGTCCAGCACTAACATTGCTGCTGGTACTCCCGAATCCATTGACTCGTGCCTATCCCTGTGTCCCCACCTGTCCCCATTCCCCAGACCATTCCCTCCAGCCCTTGACCCCATCCCTGACCCCCACCGAACCAAATCTGGACCATTTTCCCCAAATCTCAACCATTTGCACCCAGATTTGCAGACCTTGGCTGAGGTTTGGGGCCCAGACCTGATGTTTGGGTCCAGGAGCTGAGATTTGGGGCAGAACCAGCTGAGCTTGGGGCCAATGGTCACAAGTGAACCCCGCTGAGATCTGGGGTGCAAAGGGCACTGTTTTAGGCATGAACAGGTGAGATTTGGGTCAAATGCCTAAAGCTGCAATAGAAATGTGAGAGGTGAGGCAATGATGGTGGAGATTGGGGGAAAAATGTCAAGGTTTGTTGACAAGAGCAAAGATTTGATGGTAAAAGTAGGAATTTTGGGATGTCTGTGAGCCCAGTGTCAGGTGATGGGGCCATCACTAGCATTCTAAATATAATTAGCTCCAGCACCACCAGTACCAGGAGATTTGGCGCAGAAATAGGTGCGGAATCCTCGTCCTTGAGGTTGTTCATGGTCAGCGTCACCAAGCTCTGCCCGTTGTCCCTGGAGATCCTGAACCGGCCCTCGACCGATGGCGTATAATCAGTGCTGCCACCACCATTACTGATATCTGCAACGTACTCCAGCCCCTGCCCGGGTCTCTGGCGGATCCAGTTCATGGCAACACTGCCAAAACTGAACCCGGCCCCTCGGCAGAGGAGGCGCAGGGACCCCCCGGGGGGCTGGAGGTCCCCCCTGGACTCCAGCAGGGTCACGGCCGCCCCGAGCCCTGCAGGACAAAGGGGAGATGGGGATGGGGCCAAAGCTCAACCCTTGACCCAAATCCTGACCCTTGGGCCCAAACTGGAACCCTTGGAGTTCATCATCCTCCTCCTACAGGGGTCCCACCCCTTTTTCAATCATGCAATGCCAACTTGGGCACTCTTCACCAATCAGGTTTCCCATCCCCATCTCCCCTTTGTCCCGCAGGGCGGGACCGGGCGGCCGTGACCCTGCTGGGGTGCGGGGGGAAACCTCCAGCCACCCAGGGGGTCCCTGCGCCTCCTCTGCCAAGGGTCCGGGTTCAGTTTCGGCAGTGTCTCCATGCACTGGGCGCGCCGGAGACCCAGGCTGGGGCTGGAATGCCTCGCAGGGATCTACAGCAGTGGCAGCGCCTACTATGCGGATTCAGTCAAGGGCCGGTTCACGATCTCCAGGGACAACGGGCAGAGCTCGGTGACGCTGACCATGAACAACCTCAAGGACGAGGATTGTGGATCCTATTTCTGTGCCAAAAATATTGATAATAATTTTTGCAGTGCTGGTGCTCCTCTTGATCCATCTGATCCCATCGTCGGGTCCCCATCTGTCCCCATTCCCCAGACTCTTCCTCCATTCCAGTCCCCTGTCCCTGCTCTGAGCTGGTTCTGCCCCAAATCTCAGCTCTTGGCCCCAATCTCAGCTGCTAGCTCCAAGCCTCAACCAAGGTCCCCAAACCTGGGTGCAAATGATTGAGATTTGGGGAAAATGGGCCAGATTGGGTCCGTGGCTATGACACAGTTCCACCACTGAAATTCTGGGGCAGAATGGGTCCAGTTGGGCAAAAATGGTTAGGATTGGTGGGACGAGGGTGAGCTCAGGGTGAAACCGGCCCCGATTTGGGGCCAGGAGCTGAGATTTGGGGTCAGAGCAGGGCAAGGATGGGACAAAGGGTCAAGAGTGGGATTAGGGGTTTGAGGGAAGGGTCTGGGGAATGGGGACAGGTGGGGACACAGACATGGGAACAGGACCAACACCAGCCCTGTCACAATAACCAGCAGCAGGAGTAGCAGTATTAAAAATTTCACACGGAAATAGGATCCGGAATCCTCGTCCTTGAGGTTGTTCATGGTCAGCGTCACCAAGCTCTGCCCGTTGTTCCTGGAAATCGTGAACCGGCCCTTGACCGATGGACTGTAGTAGGTGTAAGCGCCACTGCTCCAGATCCCCGCAATGTATTCCAGCCCCTGCCCGGGTCTCTGGCGGATCCATTGCGTGGGAAAACTGCTGAAACTGAACCCGGACCCTCGGCAGAGGAGGCGCAGGGACCTCCAGGGGGGCTGGAGGTCCCCCCGGACTCCAGCAGGGTCACGGCTGCCCAGAGCCCTGCGGGACAAAGGGGAGATGGGGATGAGGCCAAAGCTCAACCCTTGAACACACAATCCTGACCCCTGGCCCCAAATTGGGACCCTTGGACATCATCATCCTCCTCCCAGGTGGGTCACATCCCTTTTTTCAAGTGTGCTATGCCTACTTGGGCACTCTTGACCTATCAGGTTTCTCATCCCCATCTCCTCTTTGTCCCGCAGGGCTCTGGGCGGCCGTGACCCGGCTGGAGTGCGGGGGGCACCAGGCACCCCCGGGGGGTCCCTGACGTTGCTGTGCCGAGGGTCCGGGTTTGATGTCGGTGGCATCACCATGTTCTGGGTCCGCCAGAGACCCGGGCAGGGGCTTGAGTGGGTTGGGAGCATCAGGAAGGAGGGCTGGAGCTCCATGTACGCACCGTCGGTGCAGGGCCGGGTCACGATCTCCAGGGACAACGGGCTGAGCTCGGTGATGCTGACCATGAACAACCTCAGGGTCGAGGATTCCGGATCCTATTTCTGTGCCAAAGCTGCTGGTGCTGGTTGGGCTGCAGATGCTACTTACATTGACCATGCCGGTGGTGGCAGCGCCCTTGCCTGAGCCCCTCTTGTCCCCAAGTCTCAGAACCTTTACCCAAATCTCGGCCCTTGACCCCATTCTTGACTCATTTGCCCAGATCTGCCCCATTTCCCCCAAAGACCCCAAACCCCCAAACTGGTTCTGCCCAAAAACCCTCCTGCTTTGACCCCAAAACTCGCCCGATTCTGCCCCAAATCCCGACTCTGGGCTCCCAGCCACAGCTGCTGATCCAAACCTCACCCGCTGCCCCCAAATCTCGGCCCTTTGGGCACTTTTGGGGCACAAGGGGGAGATTTGGAGCCGAGAGTTGACTTTGGGGCCAGACCCAGGGGAGGGTTTGGGGCCAATGGGCAGCGTTGGGGCAAAGGGGGCGGGGGTGGGACAAAGGGTCAGGGGTGGGTCAGGGGGGTTTGAGGAAGGGTCTGGGGACAGCTGGGGACAGGGACGGGGCTGAAACCCCAAACACCAACCCAAACACCGGGAGTGAAACCAATGGAATGGGCGACATTCCAGCCACCATAGGAATCCTTGGCACAGAAATAGGATCCGGAATCCTCATCCTTGAGGTTGGTCATGGTCAGTGTCACCGAGCTCTGCCCATTGTCCCTGGAGATCGTGACCCGGCCCTGGACTGAATCTCCATAGTGGGTGGTGCCACCAGTGTTGATGTGTGCTACGAACTCCAGCGCCTGCCCGGGTCTCTGGCGGACCCCGCCCGTCCCAAAACTGCCGAAATAAAACCCGGACCCTCAGCAGAGGAGGCGCAGGGACCCCCCGGGGGGCTGGAGATCCCCCCCACACTCCAGCAGGGTCACGGCCACCCGGAGACCCGCAAGACAAAGGGGATGGAAAAGCTCAACCGTTGATCCAAATCCTGACTCTTGGCCCCACATTGGGTCCCTTGGAGTTCATCATCCTCCTCCCAAGTGGGTCCTGCCCCTTTTTCAAGCTGGCCATACCTGCTTTGAGGCCCTCGGCCAATCAGGTTTCCCATCCCCATATCCCCTTTGTCCTGCAGGGCTCCGGGCAGCCGTGACCCTGCTGGAGTGCGGGGAGGAGCTCCAGCTCCCCGGGGGGTCCCTGCGCCTCCCTTGCCAAGGGTCCGGGTTCAGTTTCAGGAGTGTTGCCCTGCAATGGATCCGACAGAGACCCAGGCAGGGGCTGGAGTGGGTCGGAAGCATCAGGAGCAATGGCTCCGGCACCAACCTCGCGCCATCGTTCAAGGATCGCGTCAGGATCTCCAGGGACAACGGGCAGAGCTCGGTGACGCTGACCGTGAACAACCTCAAGGACGAGGATTCCGCCGTTTATTTCTGTGCCAAAGAACCACGCACTGGTGGTTGGAATGCTGCTGCTGGTTGTCCTTTCAGCCTCGTCCCTGTCCCCATTCCCCAGACCCTTCCCTCCAACCCCTGACAACATTCCTGACCTGTGGAGGATTTTATTAAGAGTTGGTTAGCTGAGAAAGGCCATACTGACTTAATGCCACTGGTTAAGCTGAAAGAGGGAGGTCAGCAGTCTCTGATTCAGTGACTGCTGACAGGCAAGAATGCCGGATGGCCTTGCTGCAACATGAGGAAAGGGAGGTGAGATTAGTCCTGAATATCTGCAGAATGTAACAGAAGAATAAGCACAAGAATGTAAAAGTAGGTGTAGTTGTTGATATGTAACTAACCAATCCTGAGCTCAACTTTTGCAATATGTATGAAGCTTATTAAGAACTATATTTAACCCGCCGTATTCGATCAATAAATCGAACTTGGATGAACCAATTGGTGTCTGGGTCTCCTTCTTCCGACAAATGGTGGAGAATGCGGGCAAAGGCAGCATTCTGAACGTTCGCTCTCTTGGATTATAAATTCGCCACGGTCGGGGAAGTTGAGTGAGAGTCCTTGCAGCCGGGACGGTGCCGGATTTTAAAAGCACCCTTGAGGATTACAAAAGGTATCTCAAGTCTCTACGTGTCGCCGAGAGCCTGGAAGGCTGCAACAGCGCGCGCTGATATATAGGTATGGATAGGCAAGCGACATACGGTCCCTTCTCCTCATATTTAGAAAGGCGAGGAGTAAAAGGGATAGATTTAAAAAAGGAATTACCAGGGTTATTAGCTTATGGTTATTCTAAAAGAATTTTTGCTAACCCACATACAGTTCATGAGATAGTAGAGTGGAAAAAGTTTGGGGATATCCTGTGGGATACGGTGTTAGATGATGATAAGTCAGCAAAGAAATTTGGCAAGTTATGGCGGGTGGTGTATAATACGTTACTTCAGCAGGTCTCTGAGAGAAAGGCAGCAGAAAGGGCAACAGAAGCTCATAAGAGGAATATAGGGTATGGTCGTGAGGATGATCCCTTATCACCTTCTGTAACTCAGATACTTATGCCTAAGGGTCCCCAGCAAAATGGTGTGGAAAATTTTCCCTTAGATACAGTGGAACCATCTGCACCCTTCCTGTCAGAGGGGGAGGGCGAGTTGGATGGTGGGGGTGGGAGCAAGCCAGCTTCGCCTCCGCTGCCAGCTTCAGACGAGTTGGATGGTGGAGGTAAGAGCAAGCCAGCTTCGCCTCCGCCGCCAGCTTCAGGCGGGTCGGATGGTGGGGGTGAGAGCAAGCCAGCTTCGCCTCCGCCGCCACCTTTGCCTCCGCCGCTTCCCCCGAGCGGGCCGGCTCCGCGGGGGGG